TATATATATATATATATGTCGTACCTAGTAGCCAGAACTCACTTTTTGGCCTACTATGCAAGGCCCGATTTGCCTAATAAGCCAAGTTTTCATGAATTAATATATTTTCTCTAATTTTTTTCTTATGAAATGATAAAACTACCCATTTCATTATGTATGAGGTCAATTTTTTTTATTGGAGTTAAAATTAACGTAGATATATGACCGAACCTAACCAACCCTACCTAACCTAACCTAACCTATCTTTATAGGTTAGGTTAGGTTAGGTAGCCGAAAAAGTTAGGTTAGGTTAGGTTAGGTAGGTTAGGTAGTCGAAAAACAATTAATTCATGAAAACTTGGCTTATTAGGCAAATTGGGCCTTGCATAGTAGGCTGAGAAGTGAGTTCTGGCTACTAGGTACGACATATATATATATATATATATATATATATATATATATATATATATATATATATATATATATATATATATATATATATATAATATATATAAATAATCATATTTATATACATACTAGCTGTACCCGGCCACGTGTTACAGTGGCTCAGCAACGCATGTCCCCTCGTCCTCTCAACCATTCCTCACTCCCCCGTCCTATATATATATATATGCTGGTTAGCATTGTAAATATGTGGCCACGTCTGTGGTAGAAAATAATAATAAAAAAAAAATCCCCCGTCCTTTCGTCCTCCCAACCATTCCCCACCCCCCATCCCCTCGTCCTCCCCACCATTCCCCCCTTCCCCATCCCTTTGTCCTCCCCCACTGCAGTGTTCCCTCGTCCTCCTATAACCCTTCCTCACTCTACCGTCCCATCGTCCTCCCCACCATCTCTCACTCCCCCATCCCTTCATCCTCCCTACCATCCCCTTGTCGATAAAATCATCAACGGGAGCATTGTTCGTCGTCTTTTTCTCTCGTATTGACATCCAGAATGATGATATTTGTTACCACCGACGGTACTAAATAAGGATCCCTTCTTTTGATACTTACTCAAACTGTTTGACTTGCAACAATGATTGAATCTGTCTGACATTTATTAATGTATCCCAGTGGTGTGTTTTTCATTTTACTTGTAATGGTTGTGATGTGTATGTGATAAGGCCACATTTTGTAATCATGTAATCTTGTACAATACAGCTCCCTATATTTATATAAATAATTTATATATTATATATACATTATATATGGCATATAAAATACGAGTCAAATTCACCGAGCAATTTATCGGCTGTCATTCAGAGTAAAGAAATTGTTGGAAGTAAATTTTTAGCATTCTGAAACGTGTTTATCAATAAGTGACTGCGTGGGAGTGGGATCTAGCTCCGTGCCACCTCCTAGCTGTATACCTGGACCACTAACATTCTACACATTAACATTTTTATCATTTTTTCTTAAAAGTTATGGATGGAATTGACTTCAATAACCTTTCAATGCTTTCCACTTGCAGACCATCCATACAGGAAACAAGAACTTCCTTATGTCTCAACAACTTAATTGCTTGCCCAGCTTCCACCAATGTTCCCATGTTCTACCTTGCTTTAATTTAAATAGGCTCTCTTTGTCGACTCGTCCCAGGATCCTGTATGCTATGATCATATTCCTAACTGCTTCTACGTTCCTCTAAAGTTATGAGGGCAAGTTCCCTCGGCCAGTCTACATAGCTGAGCCCTTTCAATTATGGTACTAATCTAATTTCAAACATCTTGACTTTCTCAAGTTTCATATTGTGCTTTCATGTGGGTTCCATGCTGGTACTGCATACTCTAAGTAATAGTCTCACATAGGTGGTGTGTATGGACTTGAATGACTCCTTGTTTAGATCCTTAAATAATTTTCTTATGTTTGCTAACTTCCTATACTGATGTTAACCTGTTCACATGAGCTTCTGGTGTTAGGATTATGTCTACTCTCAGTTTTTGGCAATTACTTTACACTTGTTGGATTCAATTCCAGTAGCCATTTATCTGCCCACTCCTGATACTTATCAAGGTCTTCTTACAGCACCCTACAGACCTCTTCATTTCTTACCCTCATCTGCAAATATTGACATGTAACAGGTCACTCCTTTTGTGAGGTTATTTACATAAATTAGAAAGAGCAATGACTCTAGGTCGCATAGGGCACCACTTTCCACTCCTCTCCAGCCTGATATATCCACTTTGAATGTTATCCATTGTTTCCTGTCCATCTGGTACTTCTGTACACAATCCAGTGCCTTTCCCATTATCCCAGCTTGTCTCTCAATCTTGTGTATTACTCTTTGTGAGGGGACTGTATCAAAAGCTTTCTGGCGCACTAATTAGATGTAATCTACTTATCCTTCTTTCTTTTATTATTTTGGTGATCTGTTAAGTTTGTTAAGCATGATTTTCCCCTGTAAAGCTGTGTTGTGCCTGTTATAAAATTTACTCTCCCAAAATGCTCTAGTCCTTTTTTTGATTATTTTTTCCAACGTCTTGCATAAAATGCATGTTAATGACACCAGTCTATAATTTAGTGCTTCATGTATCTAACTCTCCCGTCAACAGTGTAATGCTGAATACTATAATTAATGGGTAACACAAGATCCTTGCAGCTGTCTTCAGTAACCCTGGTGATCTGGCATGGTCCTAGTGCTTGACACCAAGAAAATTCTCCCTGGCTTGGTGTCTTCTTTAGATAATTATTTACTGCTATGGTCCTAATGCTTTTGCTACAATCCAGTTCCTCCAACTGTCTTTCTACCTCTTCTACATTATTTTCTAATTCTGTCTAGTATTGTTTTTGGCCATCTGTTGTCACTTCCCCTTGGAAACCAGTCTAGTTCCAATTTACATACCTCATGGAACCTCTCGAGTTCTTGCCACACTTCTTTGTCATTCTCTATGAGTGTTTTTTCCTGTTCCCACAGTCTGATCACATGGTCTTGTACTGTTTTTGCTGCAAGCTTAAGTTAGACCTGCTTGTGCCACAATGTTATTTTCAACCTGCTGCTCTCCTGATTCTGGTGTACTCATTTCTGGCCCTCTTAGTGCCTTCCTATCTTCCTCTGTACCCCATGTCCCTATACTTTTTCTATGCTTTTTTTGTCGTATTCTTTTCCTCCTTACACTGTTGACCCATTGGTTTACTGTTCTTTTGTCCACTTCCCTTCTGAGAGGTATGAACTGTTTTGTGGCCTTGCATTTTTGTGTTACAAGTTCCATCTCATTTGCTGACTTTATCTCCATTTCGGTCTCCCATTAAACATCCTGTAGATAGTCCCTAACCCTCCTGCAATACCCTCTACTGTATTTAATCACACAATTTTATCCTATTTCTGACTTTCTCTCTGTTTAATAATGACAATGTAATCAAACAAAATAGCGCAGTGGTCACTGGCTCCTAATGGCTCCTCATATTTTGTTTTCTGCATCTTCATTTTGGGTAAATACCAGGTTTCGGGTAATTGTTAGATCACCTCTTCTTTCTCTTTTCGGTTCCTTGATATGCTGCAACGGGAAGTGTTTGCCTGATGTCCTCTGATCTTGCTCTCCAAGTTTCATCTCAACCATGAGGAATCATTTGTTAACCAGTTTATTTCCATGGTCAATTTAAGAGGTTAACCAATCTACTTAGGAGGCTTGGTCAGGGACCAGGCCGAGGGAACATTGAGCCCTGAAATCATCGCAAGATATGGTTAAAAATCCCCAAGTATTGTACTAGGATTTTTGCTCTGGCTTTCTTTAAACATGTTTGGTTCCATTTATCATATTTCTACCTTGAATCTTTCTGTAGTTAATTAAGGGTTGCTAATAACACTTACTACTATCTTCATGGTCCTCACTGTTTTCATACCTAGTATGAAATCCTGTTGGGTAGTCATCTCCGGAATTTATCTCCTCAAAGTTACAATGTTGTATCAGTAGTGCTACTTCTTCTCCCCTACTGTTTACTCTTTTGCCTTGATACCCGGTATCCTCCTTTGGAATATTGTACTGCATTATTTATTTTGTTTGTCAGTTTTGTCCAACTGCAATGATATGATGTAGTTCTTCCATCCATTCTTGCAGGGATAATGTAATTTGGACTTTAAGGAAAGAAGATTTCATTCCATCAGCTGTACATAGGTTAATCTGGATATAGGAGTAGTGAACACAGTTACGGGTAATATGATGACAGCCAGCAGTTTTTTCTGGAGCTGGCAACCAGCATAATCTCTCTAGTCAATATTTTGTACTTTTTATAATTTTCTTATGTAGATTGCCATAAGCCTTAGCATTCTAATAATTTAATTATAATTCACACAAATACCACGTATAATACACTGAATGATGACTGACTGAATAAGACGCGTCTTTTTTGTGGCACGGTGTATTTGTTGTGGGTGTTGTTTTTTATTAGGCCATGTTAGAGGGTGACAATGTCCAAGAGTGTTCATTAAGTTGTGATTCAATATCAAATAGGAATTCTAATGGTGTCTCATGGTAGGCATGACTGGGGTATCTGATTTAGTCTCCGTGGTGTAGTGGTAAGACACTCGCCTGGCGTTCCGCGAGCGCTATGTCATGGGTTCGTATCCTGGCCGGGGAGGATTTACTGGGCGCAATTCCTTAACTGTAGCCTCTGTTTAACGCAACAGTAAAATGTGTACTTGGATGAAAAAACGATTCTTCGCGGCAGGGGATTGTATTCCAGGGACCTGCCCGAAACGCTACGCGTACTAGTGGCTGTACAAGAATGTAAAAACTCTTGTATATATCTAAAAAAAAAAAAAAAAATATGACTGAGTTTTTTCTTGGCAAAGGGAAAAAGGGGCAAACATCATGAAACATTTATAAAACTGTATACAGTACTGTATAAAGAAAAACAAAGCATCCATCAGCAAGGAATTGTGTGGAATTTGAAGACAAGTTGATCACAAAGTAAAACACTCATCAGAACATCTCAAAAGAAAAGAACAATCGTACTACTATGTAATGCTGCAATATGCACAAGATTAGAGAGATAAAGAAGTCAAAGGTATCAAAGCCAATATGATCCTCATTTATCTTTAATTGCTCATTTACAAGTACAGTACACCTAATGTCTACACTGGCTGCGGCTTTGGCATTCTTATTCTTGTCACTTCTTATGAGAATTCCAGCCAAATACTAGAATGTGAAAGTAAGAATTCAATAAACAGTACTTAACATTTTCCAATGTAAAACTGCATTGTAACATTCAAGAAACAATTTAAGAGGATCTATTGAAATATATCACCTATTGAACAGACACATATCTGTAAGATATATAAAATGGTGAAGATTTTGATGTCATTGGCATAGTTATTAATGTTTATTTGAATTGTTTGCACTATTCATAAAGATACTGCATCAGTATTTGTTTAGCTTGCTGTGTCACCTTCCAAGTTATCCAATTCAGCTAACAGCAAGCTGCACTTTCCAATCATGATGTTGACAGATTCCTCTAAAATTTCATAGCTCTTCAGTGCACTGTGTGATTCTACATAAACTGAAACAAAAATAAAAAAATCATTAGTGAATATATTAACACATTCGCTGCAGGCGCGCCACAGTGCACCGCAAGGTAGGTGCATGTTGCCCATGAGGGGACAACCACACTCTAATGTTTATACTCATGACAGTTTTCTCACCTCAATTTTCGTGCTAAGTCGTTCATTTTGGTATCAAATTGTTTGCAATAGAATGCTCTAAAGAAATATGTATACAAGGTTAAATAACATTACCAATAAAATAAGACAAAGTACATCATGTAAAAACAAAAACTTTTCATCATCATTTACAGTCATTATTCATTCCCAACATTATTTGTTACACTATATCATTTGTTTTTGTGTTGTTTCGTATTTATAAAGGCAAGAACAAAAAATACCCGAGGTAAAACAACCGGAATAGGCAGACGTTTAAATTTGATGGCCACCCGCCCACTGTGTTGGTGGCCATCCACGCAGTGGTGTAGTGATGGCACGTAGGGTATAGAGAGAACGGGGAGATGTTGGCGTGCATTTTAAAACAAGTTCCATAATAATCAGACAATAAATGAAATTTTTACAAATATTTAAATTTTGGATGGCATTGCCATCCTCCCGCGAACTACTGTACATGCATTGATTTTAAGACAGCAATAACGTTATCCGGCAGTGAAAGTGTTAACCGAGCCTTCACTTTCACAGATGAATCCAAAGTGATATTAGACACATAATTTTATTTTTGCTCAATTATCACATCAAGCACAAAAATGTAGCAGAGGCACTGAATGCATACAAACAAAATAAAGTGTAGGTAACTTTTAGTATGATAACTAAAAGAAATATTTAATTCACATAAATGAGTATGAAAAATTACAGAACTTATTACTTATCCAAACACTCAGTATTGAGTGTAATGAAACTCCTCTTTCTGGAGGAGCCCCAATGCCAGTACAATGTCTGGAGCCAAACCTTGTTAAGGAAAAGACAATGGATGTAAAGTTCCAGCCTCCACACAATACTCGACCAGCCAGGCAAGGAAAAAGACTGATAGTTTGAAATAAGGGCCCAGCCAAGTTTGAACCTGGGACAGAACCAACTGGGACTTCCTCCAGTTAACCAGGAGCCCAAACCCAGCAAACTGGGAAAGAACCAGATCCCTTACCAGCTTACACGCTGACTGACTAGGGGTTCACACCAGCCAGTTGTCAAGGTAGGCCAGCAAATGAACCCCTAACAGATGCAGCCAGGCCAAAACAACCCAAACGATCCTGGTAAACACACGGGGTAGGAGCCGGTCGGCCGAGCGGACAGCACGCTGGACTTGTGATCCTGTGGTCCTGGGTTCGATCCCAGGCGCCGGCGAGAAACATTGGGCAGAGTTTCTTTCACCCTATGCCCCTGTTACCTAGCAGTACAATAGGTACCTGGGTGTTAGTCAGCTGTCACGGGCTGCTTCCTGGGGGTGGAGGCCTGGTCGAGGACCGGGCCGCGGGGACACTAAAAAGCCCCGAAATCATCTCAAGATAACCTCAAGATAAGGGTAGGGGAGGCATATTCAAGCTGAAGGGAAGAACCCTGTAATAAGTCTGACCCCCCACAACAGCTAGCCAGTCCCTGAACCTGGAATGTATTGGGACATGTCATTAAGCTGTCCTTCTGGCAAATCCTTTACACACACAACACAATTTGTATTAAATATGGCAGAATTTTTGTAATTCTGACAGCATCTTTATAAATACTACTGTATTATGTTCTGAATATCCTCTGGATTTTTGTCAAAATAAAACATGAACAAACTTACAAATCACATGTTCAGGCTTTCTTGTGAGCTTGACAGCATCTTTGATGCTATCATACTCAAAAACATTTCTAGAGCAGGAATCATTGCGGGCATCATTAACCTTTGCTATTTTTTTCCCTGAAAAATAAATTAAAAAGAGATTAGTAAGAGCAGTAAAATAATTACGCAATTATGTATATAGCACAATATATATAACAATTATGTATATATAGCAATTATGAATATAATTGATAATAATCAATTATATAATATATAGAATATATAATATATAGAATATAGCAATTATGTATATAGCACAAATAAATACTGAATTCCAAGTAATATTTATATTGCTATAAGTAGCAATATAAATTTGTTCAGTCTTTATTATAAAATTGCAGGGAATTAAAATAACTCAATCTTAGCTAAGTGCAGCAATACAGCTGACTCCCAATTAACACTTTAGTATTCTAATGATACTGAAATATATCATCCGTACTCCGACAGTAAAGATTCTGACGACAATAAACTGCTAATGATGTTAATATATATTCAGAACTATCACACATATATATTATAAAAATACGTTTCATACAGCATCTATTAGCAAATTCATTTGCAGACATTGACACTAAATTTATGGTCTTAACTTAAAAAATAACTGAGAAAACAAATAAAAAAACCAGCATTAAATGTAATGAAACACCATTTTCTGGGTGAGTGGCTCCCAGAAGCTATCCGAACTGATATGTGCTATTTTAGCTTAGGGTCGTCAGTCACTGGAGTCCTTATGCCTCCTACCTTGGACCATGAGCCAGAACCTGGCCCCCTCAGAGAGGTGCAGGGAGCAATGGCCTATGAGCACTTTACATTTAAAGTACGTCATAATTGCCAACGACCGGGAAAGGCCCCAGAAAGGTGGGCGAATTTAAACAGACCACTGTCTGGTTGACCTGTGCAATCAACATTCGAAAAGATCAAAATAACTCCCCTAGAAAGAAACCCAACAAGCAACACTTCATGCACCTAGCACTCCCGCTCATTAGTGCTACCCACCCACCCCCCCAAAGGGGGAGCCAGCAGCCCACCATTCAGTTCTTGAACGATGAAAATTGCCGACCGGACGGAGGGAGAGTGTCAGGGAGCCTCCAGGGCTCACCCAGAAAATGGCATTTCATTACATTCAACGCTGGCTTTCTGTGGGGGATCCCTGTCGGCTCCCTGAAGCTATCTATCCAAAAAATAAGTAAAAGGAGGGACTTATCCAGGAGGCTGCAGCACCACAGGGCTAAAGACATGGAAGAGACAGGCAGCAATGACAGGAACAAATCCACAAGGGCCAGGAGCCCTAAAGCCACACACGGCCGGAAAGGAACCGGAACGTGCTCAAGATATCTGGTGGCCCAGACTCTGTTTGACTTCCAAAACTCCCGCGCCCAAATGTCAACCAAAGACATGTTGCTAAAAATAACCACGAGAGCAGCATATTTCCTAACAGCATGGGTATGAGGGTAGACCACAGGCTGGTTAGACTTCATGACACTGCGGACAACATGAGAGATATGAGCCCTGGAACAGGGAACCAGAGAAACCACAATGAATTCACCAAAGCAAAAACAGTGGTGCAAAAGTAGCAGCGAAGAGCCATCACCAGACAAAGAACATGATGCACCCTACTTTGAACCAATCAAGCATCAATCACCAATGGACCCCTTTAGAAGCCAACCAACCCATTCTTCACAAGAAAAGAAGAAACTGGCTGCAGACAGACAAAACCATCCCCAGGGCTGCAAGAACAAAAAACCCCGGCATCGAAGGAGAGTAGCGATTAGGGAGTACCAACCTAGTGGGTTGTTTGGTAATTAGCCAGGCCATATCTTGGCAATCACTGTTTTTTCCAAGTTGCATACTGAAAAGCTTTTGAGTTTATGCAGTGCATTTTTCAGTCTACATTCAAAGACTGAATTGACCATTTTCTAGTAACTTCATAGCTCCAGTATAACCCAACAAGGACAGTTTTAAATACTGTATGAGCTCACTTATCTGAACTTTATGGGATGGACCCTTGCCAGATATGCAGATAAGTTGAATTCTTACAGCTCATTACATGAGCTCCAGGACTGATCAATCCTTACAAACAATCACTGGTGAAGTGGTTTCAGTACTGTGTCCTGCGGAGGGTGAACCCCTGACTATGCAGGTTTGAGCCATGGTCAGGTCTAGTGATTTATGGCTTGGGGGACTATTCAAGCTCTTTCATATTTAAAATATTGTGTAACGAACTTCACAAAATTGTTACTTGCTTAGCTAAATGAACTATGGGTTCAGTTCCTGAACCTATTATGTACCTCTGTAACACTTTCCACCACCACCCACAGGATGGGCATGGGGTGCATAATAAATGACTAAAATGATAATAATGTAAATGTTTGGATATCCAAAAGACAATTGGATATTTCAGATAAAGTGGTGGATACCCATTATTCCAAAGTGTTGCATTATGGTTTGTTTATCCAATCTATCTTTGATGGTCAGATAATCCAGAGAAATTATACAAATGAGACACAGATTAGGAAAACTGAACATTCGGATAATCAAATCATTAATCGTAAGTGGATTACAGTGAACTTTTTCATCATCTTTCACATACATATAAAATTACATATTTCCAAATATAAAAGTGAAAAATAACTCCATATTTTGAGTAAATTTACAATTTAGTACAAATGTGCTGTTTCAACCTACAGTTACGATATGCACAGATAAACATATTCAAACACTATTTCTTTTTATGGCAAATAAAATATTCATATATTCATAGCTTGCTTACCTCCTGGTGTAGTTACAACATCAATCACTCCCGGAGAAAAGCACTTCTGGAGGAGTTCAGCTTGCTCACCTTCCACCTCCCGAGTCAATTCTATTTCAGGCAACAGGCGATACCAAGCAAGGCCAGGTTGGAACTTGGCATGGTCACTACCAATACCTATTAATATAAAGAGAAAAATTAAGGCATGAATATGACAAATTTAAACAGAACAAAATTCACATTACAAGAATGCTGCATAACTACTGTACTGTGAAATATTGTATAGCATGTTTGAGAGTAGCACAAATCAGGAAAGAAAAGTGGTTGATACATGAAAGCTCTAGTTTGTGAAAACAAGGGCACATTTGGTCAATTCCCTGGCCAGATGGGAATTGATACATCTAGAGGGCTGCATAAAGGAGTGGTTGGGCAGACCCTTGTGATGGATGTTAAATGAGTGTGATTACATATAAAAAAATCAAGAGGTAGAAGAGAATAAAAGTGTCAAGAGCTATAGAGTGTAAAATGTCGAAAACCAAACAATTGAGAAGACTGTACCAAAATGGTTCGAAAATACTGAAGGAATGAATGATAATAGACTGATGGAGGAAATGTGCTGTATTCGAATAAAATGAGGATAAGTGGATATGGTCAAGAAGATGGAGACGACATACATGTGTGTGTGTGAGGACGTGAGGATTGTGTGAAAAACAAACACAAGATAAGGTGAGGGAATAAGAATTGGTAGGAGTGATTTGTAATGTGGGTGTGTATTTATTATATGAGGATAATGTATTATATGTGATAATTCATAAACAACACTTTATTATAAAGCAGTGGGCTGCTGCTGTGGAAGACTGCTGGAGTATGGTGGGGCTTGTTTGTTCATGAATGCATATAGTGTGAACAAATTAATGAAGGGATGAATTATATTTATATTTCGTGGGCCGACTCCTCAAAATGTGTATATGAGAATATGGAACTGGCTACTAAGGTTATATTGTACTGGAAATGCAAGGCTTCCATGACTTCTTTCTACCCACCAGGGAAAAAGACCTCCACCAAGGAAAAAGACCTTATCAAACTATCTTGCCCCTCCAAGGGGCAGAGGAAGCATGTGGTATCAAAGATAAACCCATTACCAAGAAAAACCATTCGAAACAATAATTTTAATTGTTACAAAAATTAATTCCGTTATCAGAATTTTCTGGGGAAAGCTCCTTGTGGCTCCCTGAAGCTACTATGCTGATATAGTACCAAACTATTAGGTGCCATCAGATCGCAAAAGTTCTTATTGGTCTACCGGGGTCCACGAGCCAGAACCTGGCTCCTCTCAAAGAGGTACAAGGAGGAGCCTACAGTATGTAGACTTCTAGGTACAGACAGTACCTGGTCGCCCTCTCTGATCAGTCTGGCTTCGTGCCACCTGTTCTGCTTTGGTGGACTCTTTGTGAGTTGATACAGTTTTCCTTGGTTCCCTGTTCCAGAGCTGGTATTTCTCAGGTTGTCTGCAGTGTCAATAAATTTAGCCAGCCTGTGGTCTACCCTCGTGCCCATGATGTGCACAAATATGAGCGTCTGTCAGCAGTCTTTTGCCAACATGTCTTGCACCGATATTCAGGTGTGGGAGTTCTAGCAGTCGAACAGGAGTCTAGTGGCCTGGTATCTTGTGAATGTTCCCGGTCCTCAGTGACCTTGTGTGGCCATGGATCATGTGTTGCGGCCGTTTGTCTCTTCCTCGTCCTGATACCTGTGATGCTTCTTAGTCCTGATACCTGTAGTGCTTCCTCCTCCCTGGTAAATGCCCTGTTTTTCCTTCTCTGTGGATAGATAACTTTAGGGAGCCACAAGGGGGGGGGGGATACCCCCTAGAAAAACTTGTGTTGGATGTACTGAAACGCCAATTTCTGGGTGAGCCCTGGTGGCTCCCTGACACCCTCCCTTTCCCAGGGTGTTGGAGTGGTTTACATCATCATAAGAACTGGGGGTGGAGCAACCGGCTGACCAGGTCTGACTCCCTCCTCCCCTCCAAACGAGGAGGGAAGGTAGGGTGAACTAGTTCACACTAATTTCATGAATTTTCTGTTGTTTGTTTACTTTGTTGGGGGGGAGGATTTATTTTGGCTGTTTTGAGGCTCCAGTATGGTTTTTAACCAAGCAGTGGCCTGTTTTGTTTCACTGACTTTCTGGGTGCCTTTCCTTGGTGACAGCAGATATGAATAAATTTGACATAAAATTGTTCATATTGCCACAGCTTCCTGTGCCCCATTGAGGGGGGGGGGGGGATGGGCCCAGGTTCTGACTTGTGGTTCCTAGTAGGCCAACAGGAACTCTGCGATCTGATGGCACCTAGTAGTTTGGTACTATATCAGCATAGTAGCTTCAGGGAGCCACCGAGGCTTGCCAAGAAATAAGCATTTCATTACATTCAATGCTGTTTTTTTTCATGCACAATGGGGAAGCAGGTTGTCATATAAAAAGATTGTGCAGCATAATTAAACTTTTATCCACTGCCACCAGGTGGTTGTTTTTGCAAATTGGTGTCCCAGTGCAGTGAACACCTCATTCTCTTCCCTTACACACCACTGAGTGCATCACTGGGACTTGTGGAGATTTTCTTATCCTAGATTAGTTGACTAAATTTCCTTTGGACTTTGAAGTCCATGTACATGGTGTCCATGCTTAGTTAGAGTATTCAGTAGCATATACTGTAAATGTTCATTGTGTTTTTCTCTTGCTACCAGTCTCTTCTTTGGCTCTTGTTTTAGAGGTCATGGCACCTATCAGAGACTATTAAAAACCAGAAATTTTTTCTCTCAGGTTTTCATGGACTTCCTTTGAGTGGACTTGTCTCGAGTTGACAGAACTTCAAGACATCGTTCCTGATGCAAGACATGTTGAGTGGGAGTTTAATTATTGAGTGTGTGGTTGTGCTGTGGTTCTGACTTACGTGAAAAATGGAGCACAGTATCTTTTGCCGGGGTTATTCACTTGAGAATGTTAATTGATCTCTCTCTTATGGCTCGTAATTACTTGTGGATGTGAGGATGTTATCTAAAAGCAACTACCTAATTGTAGTTACAGGATGAGAACTATGCTCATGGTGTCTTTCCAGTATTCTTTGTCATACGACGATTTGAAACTAGTTTTGACATCCACTGCCCTCTCACTTGTTCCTTTTGCAAAAGAGAACTTTTTAATATTTTTCCTTTCATGAAGTTGCACATTTCAAGAAATCCTCTGTCAATTTTTTTTACTCCTGTTACTATTTTGTGAGTAGTGGTCATATTGCCTCTCTTCTATCTTTTAGCTTTGGCATATTTAACACCACTAAGTTCTCCATGAAGCTCTTGTTTTTTAGTTCCAGAAGGCATTTAGTAGCATTTCTTTGCATATTTTCCAGTTTACTGTATTGATGCGTTTCTTGAGATGGGGCACTGTAACTGTATCTTGAGGTTATCTTGAGACGATTTCGGGGCTTTTTAGTGTCCCCGCGGCCCGGTCCTCGACCAGGCCTCCACCCCTAGGAAGCAGCCCATGACAGCTGACTAACACCCAGGTACCTATTTTTACTGCTAGGTAACAGGGGCATAGGGTGAAAGAAACTGCCCATTGTTTCTCGCCGGCACCTGGGATCGAACCCAGGACCACAGGATCACAAGTCCAGTGTGCTGTCCGCTCAGCCGACCGGCTCCCTGCTGTACAGTACAACCGCTGCATATTCAAATTTTGGTCTTACAATAGTTGCGAACAATTTCTTCAATATTTCAAAGACCATGTATTTAAGTGACTCTCAAGTTAGAAACTGCAGCACATACTCCTTGCACAAAATCCTTTACATGGTCCTCTGGTGACAGTTTTCCATCCAGAACCACCTCTAGATCTTCCTTTGTCTGAGATTTTTAATGCCTATTGGCCTATTTTCCTGTTAACTTTAATGTCATATTACTTTATGCACTTATTTTATCTAGGTCATCTTGAACAGCACAACAATTGTCTAAGATGCTATCTTTCCTAGCATCATCAAAAAACATGTTCATATAATTCTGTATTCCCTCTGGAAGGTCATTTATGTAGACAATGAACCTTATTGGTGCTAGAACTAAGCCTTGTGGTACTCTATTAGTATCATTTCTCCAGTCTGATGTACCGCTTCTGATTACCACCCTCATTTACTGTCAGGAAATTGTTCATTCATGTATGCACCTTAAGTGATGAAGAGTGGGTGTTTATTGCTTATATAATTGCTCTCATACCTAGTTGTTGTTTCACTCAAAACTTACTTTAGTGTGGACCAACTAACTTCCCATCCTTCAAGGTTGTTCCTGGCTGTTACTGACATGGAGGAAATGAGTTCTCTATTTTTTTAGGAGGATTTTGAGATATGTTCCGGAGACATGTGCATGAAGAGTCATAGAAAAATGGCAATGACCACTGAATGTATATCTCAAGCATGGCAAAGCCCCACCACCTTAAAGAGTCAGAACCAAACACAGACACACACACATACACAGGGACTGTAGAGGCAAGAAATATATGAAATATCAGGGAAGGATGCAAACAGCAGACAGGCTCTTAAATTAAGTGGTGAATCATAGTGGCCCGATCCCCAAAAAAGCTACAAGTAGAACGGTCAGATTTTGAACTTGGTGTGGAAGACACTGCAACTCAACAAGCAAATTAGCAAAGTAAACCTCCCTGACACTATTATTGGGCCGCAAACACACAACTTTTTTTTTTTTTTGAGATATACAGGGTATACAAGAGTTGTTACATTCTTGTACAGCCACTAGTACGCGTAGCGTTTCGGGCAGGTCCCTGGAATACGATCCCCTGCCGCGAAGAATCGTTTTTTCATCCAAGTACACATTTTACTGTTGCGTTAAACAGAGGCTACAGTTAAGGAATTGCGCCCAGTAAATCCTCCCCGGCCAGGATACGAACCCATGAAACCCATGAACTGACTATTAAGCCAAACTGCCAGGCATGAGAGAATGTTTACATGGTTGCCATACACTGAACCCTGTCACCTGGAGAAGAGATGGAGCAAAACGTTCCAAAAAGCACAGAAAAAATACATAGGAGGAGCCACCAGATGTGAAAAAACATAGACGGATTTTTACTGACATGAAACTTTCGGCAAACCATATATATCCCTACCGACAACAGTAAGTAGATACACGGCACAATCATGTATACATTCTGTACTACTTCATCTCCCACTCAATATTCCTCATTTCAGCAACTTAAGTCCTGAAGTACAATACTAGTTGGAACAGTATAAAACTTTTTAAAAAGTCCACTCAAGGAAGGTACTTGAAAACCTTAGAGAAGGTAAACATATGGTTGACAGGTTTTCTATGACCAAGTCCAAGGAAGATTAGCCACTTAATTTAAAAGGTATACAGGGTTTTCAGCACAAATCATGCATCGATGGGGGCACCAGAGATAAGTGTCTTGCTGGAGCCTCGAGTGATCAGTGCCGTCACCTAGTTGTAGTTGAAGGATTCAGGGAATAAGTAGTTTTCTGGTTTTCGTTTTATTTAGTAGTTGGACGATACCCAAACCATTTCTCTCAGAAACTGAGTTTTGCGACATTCTTTTACTTTTAGTGCAGTTTTTCTTAGTAGTGAGTTGATCTTTGATAACCACATGCTCCCCCCCCCCACAAAAAAAAAAAGTAGATATGGGTCTTTGTTCCAAGTGAGTCAAGCCAGTGACAAAAGTCTGGTGCTTCAATTATGGTCTTGAGTGCCAGTTACAAGCTCTGAGGAACTACCAAGAGGACCTATCCAGAAAACATGAATATCATTAATATATATATATATATATATATATATATATATATATATATATATATATATATATATATATATATATATATGTCGTACCTAATAGCCAGAACGCACTTCTCAGCCTACTATTCAAGGCCCGATTTGCCTAATAAGCCAAGTTTTCATGAATTAATGTTTTTTCGTCTACCTAACCTACCTAACCTAACCTAACCTAGCTTTTTTTGGCTACCTAACCTAACCTTACCTATAAATATAGGTTAGGTTAGGTTAGGTAGGGTTGGTTAGGTTCGGTCATATATCTACGTTAATTTTAACTCCAATAAAAAAAATTGACCTCATACATAGAGAAAAGGGTTGCTTTATCATTTCATAAGAAAAAAATTATAGTAAATATATTAATTCAGGAAAACTTGGCTTATTAGGCAAATCGGGCCTTGAATAGTAGGCTGAGAAGTGAGTTCTGGCTACTAGGTACGACATATATATATATATATATGTCGTACCTAGTAGCCAGAACGCACTTCTCAGCCTACTATGCAAGGCCAAATTTGCCTAATAAGCCAAGTTTTCATGAATTAATGTATTTTCGACTACCTAACCTACCTAACCTAACCTAACCTAACTTTTTCGGCTACCTAACCTAACCTAACCTATAAAGATTGGTTAGGTTAGGTTAGGTAGGGTTGGTTAGGTTCGGTCATATGTCTACGTTAATTTTACCTCCAATAAAAAAAAATTGACCTAATACATAATGAAATGGGTAGCTTTATCATTTCATAAGAAAAAAATTAGAGAAAATGTATTATTTCAGGAAAACTTGGCTTATTAGGCAAATTTGGCCTTGCATAGTAGGCTGAGAAGTGCGTTCTGGCTACTAGGTACGACATATATATATATATATATATATATATGTCGTACCTAGTAGCCAGAACGCACTTCTCAGCCTACTATGCAAGGCCCGATTTGCCTAATAAGCCAAGTTTTCATAAATTAATATATTTTCTCTAATTTTTTTCATATGAAATGATAAAGCTACCCATTTCATTATGTATGAGGTAAATTTTTTTTATTGGAGTTAAAATTAACGTAGATATATGACCGAACCTAACCAACCCTACCTAACCTAACCTAACCAATCTTTATAGGTTAGGTTAGGTTAGGTAGCCGAAAAAGTTAGGTTAGGTTAGGTTAGGTAGCCGAAAAAACATTAATTCATGAAAACTTGGCATATTAGGCAAATCGGGCCTTGCATAGTAGGCTGAGAAGTGCGTTCTGGCTACTAGGTACGACATATATATATATATATATATATATATATATATATATATATATATATATATATATATATATATATATATTTTAAACAACATTTTGACTCATTGAGGTAAAGGAGTCCAGCAAAATCCAGCAAATAGAGTAAGTTCCAGCTGAAATATGTTGCACCCCAACTTCATTTAAATGGAAACCATCTTTGGTATATAAATTATGCCTATGTTTTAAAATGTTAATACTACGGTATCTGAAAACGAAGAGACATTGATGATTATTTCAACTTATGCTTTGTTAAACCTCATTCTTTCAGTCATACTGCTGAGAAAAGCTATTGAAATTTGAGTATTACTGTATTTAGTTTTCAGGTATAATATCATGATATTTTACCCAGTGTCTTATGTACTAAATATACAGCATGCACCTCATGTACTACTGACAAAATGGCAGATTCTCATCTACCTTTAACAGCATATGCTTCCAATTCTATTACATGTCCAGCATTCATTTTGGCTAATAAAATATCTTGATGAAGAGGTTGCATTTTAGCCTCCTTGAAGAAGCCTTGATTACCCAGAGGAACCCACTTCAGGCTTGATGACAGCACTGAAAACACAAAATAATATTTTAATGTCATGACAAAACATTATTCAGGGATGCACTGCATTAGCATATGAAAATATATTTTTAATCTTAATAACAAATAAACAACTAAGTTTTGGGCAATGCTGCAGCTTACTGAAGATAACTACACTCCATAGACAATTAAAAAATATATAATTCAACTTTTTAGCTTGTAAAATGTTTATACTGTACTCTGAAAGACATTCCACACACAAATATTTAATTCTCTAAATAATGGTTAGGGAAAAAGTGGAAATGTGCATCTGATATCTGAATTTCACTGACAAGGTGAAATTTGGCAGCTTGAATTTCACTACAAGCTGCCAAATATATACATTACCTTTTAATATGTAGTCTACTTCAATTCCTTTATACCTTTACTGGACCCATTTATTATTTGTTCACCATTATTGGACCTTTCTTGTATGTATTCTTAAAGTGTTCCCCATAAAAGATATAGCTTACTTCCCACCAGTCAATAAGTTTGTCATATTTCTGGGCATTAATAACTTACAATTAATGTCATAATTGCTCATATGTACACATTTGAGTGCAAGTAGTACTTTATAGCGTACTGTATAACTTCGCTTGCAGAGTTAAAAGTGCAGCTTTTAACACAGGCCTCACTCCAGGTAAACACAATCTTTCTGTTATAATAATGGCACCTCCATCCATCCCAAAAAGGAGTAGAACAAAATCTGTCACACTTCTTTATTTTCTCAGCTCTCAAATATCCATCATTTTCCTCTTACTGTACCACCATTTAATTTTAACTTCCTTATTTTAAACTGTGGAAAAGTGTACTAATGCTTGTACAATGGTACCTCGGTTAATGAATTTAATCCGTTCCGACACCGAGCTCGTCACGTGAAATGCTTGTCTTGCGAAACAACAAAAACACTGTTGTCAGAGGCATCCGAGAACCAGCGGGAACGCCAGGAAGCACCACATGGTTTTCTCGTTAACCGAGTGGAAGCTCATCAATCGAGATAAATTTTCCGCGAGTGGCTCGCTCGTTACCCAAAATGCTTGTAATGGGCCTACTCGTCACCCGAGGTTCCTCTGTAGTTCCTTTTTACTCTCTGGTATTAATAATTAACACTAATATCTTTAATAAAGGGGCTCATGTGTAGTTGGATTAGCTATTAGAAGTATTTCTGGGCAACAACAAGTCTTCTCCAATACATGGGGCATAAAGCACATTGGTCTATGTCGTTGTTCCACAACTGAGCACAATCAGTTCAATCCCCAAAGAAGGACAGATGGTTGGGCACTTTGACTTTCATTTGACTCCTCTTTTTCACATTAAAATTTGTCTGGAAATTTAATGAATTTTATGTGGGTACAACAATAAATGCACCTATTAGTAAATTAACACCTTGCATAAGTTTGAAGCTTTTCACCTTTTCTGTTGAGATACAAACAGTCAGGGTTGGTCTCGTCAAGTGCAGCACTAGGATTCTTTGTACACTGTACTTGAAGTCTATACATAACAGAGTCCTGGGCTCCCCACTCCGTTTCATCTGCACGAATCAACATCAGATTAAGATTAGTCAGTAACCTAGAGTGGAACAGTAATGACATTGGTCAGCTTAATAAAGCAATAAAATATTTTGTATTTAACTTCAATACATCACACATAAACAGTTCCCCCTAAGTAAAAGAAATCTCAAATAAATTTTTTGCACATGCAGTAAATAATTTTGTAAGTAAATACTGTACTGAATATTTATAATGTATGATGTTATATGTTCATGGAGTTTATTCCAACACTAACACTTAACTGGTGAAGAATTACTTCACCAGTTGTGTTAACCCAACAAATTATTCACAGCAACTATCCTTACTTCATAATAGTAGGTGTGATGTTCTTCAGAGTTGTCAAGGATAAACATGTAAAGTATGTTAACACTTTAGTCCGGGCATGACGCAGCATTGCGTCATCCGTTTACTGTCGGTAATCTCGGGGATGACGCAATGCTGTGTCGTCCACTAAAATGATTGCCAAAAATCAGGTTTTTATCCGATTTTGGGGGGACTGTTTGGTAACTGTCAACAAGCCGAATGCAATCTGTGACTACAATACAAACATGAAAGGTGTTGATCACTTTGACCAAATGATCAAATATTATCACTTCATAAGGAAAACTCACAAATGGACGAAGAAAATTACCTTCTATTTTGTGCAAATGGCTATCTACAATGCTTATGTGATGTACAACTACTACACAAAAAATACTAAACTATAACACTAAATATACTAAAATACTAAATACTAAACATTTGTGGGCAGGAATTGGGAGTGTAGCTGGAAGGCGTCTGGCGCTCACTCGTAGCTAACGTGTGGCCCGTCTTCAACTCGTCGGCGGGTGGAGCGTGACCAGGTTTTTCATTTTATATGCTAATGTTCCTCTAGAGAATTCTATTGCAAACCCATTGATACCAAAATGAAAGACATAGGACGAAAATTGAGGTGACCAGAGTGAAAAAGTGAACACATTTTATCGCTTTTGCGCGCTCCTGGGTAACTCGTTCGCACTTTCTCTGTTTGCTGCGGGTAATTAGCTGGGCTTTTGGAGTTTATATGCATTTAGTGCTGTAGAGAATTCTATTGTGAACACAATGATACCAAATTTAATCTCGTAGGACGAGAATTGAGGTGACAAAGTTGAAGAGAGTATACACTTTTCAGAATTAACGGGCGCTCCCGTGAAACGCTGGGACCCAAATCGCACAGTTGAGGGGTGGCGCGCGGGGTACGCCAAAGTGTTAAACATCTGTCTAGCCTTACATTCTACCACCTCTCATGTTCTATTCACTCTCAATTTTTGCTGCCTTGCTCACACGTCACATCAGTCCATCTTATACAGCTTTCTGTTATTCTGTCCTTAAATTCCTCAAATGAACTCTTTACCACACTTTTTAAATATAGTTGTTCAGTGTGACCAAATCATCTTTTACACTTTTCTCAATTTTATAATGTGGCTACTTTTACAGTCTGATCCTAATGAAGTGGTATCAGTCCATGATGAAGATTACCAAACAACTTTGAAAGAGGTCGCACCAGGAAATTAGCCCTGAAATACTGTAAAACTAAAATTGGTATCAAAGTTCAGACACACAAAACAACTAGGCACTACACATTTAAATGAACAATAAAACAAACCCGGAGAGGGTTTCGGGAGCTAAGTTATCACAACTTAGTTACACAACTAAGTTATCACAGCTAAGTTATCACAACTCAGGCCAAGTTATCACAAGTCGAGCCTGGCCTGAGGTCAGGCTCGACTTGTGATAACTTGGTCCAACAGGCTGTTGCTTGAAGCAGTCCACAGGATATGCTTAGGAAAGGCAAGCACATTTCATACTTAAAACCATAATTTGGCAAATAAATAAAAACCGGGATACACTTACCTTTATTTCTAAATTCAAAATATCGAGGATCAACTTTCAGAGGAACCAAGCCAAGTCTATGAGCTAAAACTTCATCTTGAACAATGCTGGTATTATTGTACATATATACCTTTTCTATTGCCATTGTTGGTACCTGAAAGCATAATTTAACAATTAACATCAGCAGTTTTCTTTGGAATTAAACATTATATGTTCTAACATACTACCAAAAAATTATGGAATATTCAACTGTTAAATTTTAAAATAATGAAAACAATATTTGGTTACTTCAGAAAGTTAGATCACTGTATCCTTGCACAGGATCTTACATAATCAAGACAATGTCTTACACAGTCAAGACAATATCTTACACATTCATGCAGAACAGTGACAACAGTATTCCAAGGAATTTTCAGTCATTCTCGGAAGTCATACTTTCCTACTTTCCCCGATTGCTCTCTCAGTTCGGAGAAAGAATGCAAAGCCCACACTATTATTATATCCACAGTCTTCTTTAGCTTCATTCAGAAAATAAGTTTTATCATTGTGTACAGGGTCTAGTCGATTGTTTCCTTGTGCATGTATGCCTCTGTGTGTGTGTGTAACTACCTAAGTGTACTTACCTAAGTGTAGTTACAGGATGAGAGCTACACTCGTGGTGTCCCAACTTCCCAGCACTCTTTGTCATATAATGCTTTGAAACTACTGACGGTCTTGACCACCACCTTCTCACCTAACTTGTTCCAACCGTCTACCACTGTTTGCAAAAGAAAACTTTCTAATATTTTTCTGGCACCTTTGTGTCCATAGCTTGAATCTGTGACTTCTTGTTCTTAAGTTGCTGGTTTCAAGAATTCTCTTTGTCAATTTGGTCGATTCTTGTTATTGTTTGGCAAGTGGTGATCATATCACCTCTTTTTCTTCTATCTTCTAGACTTTGGTATATTTAACGCCTCTAGCCTCTCTTCGTAACTCTTGTTGTCAGCTCCAGAAGTCATTTTGTAGCATGCCTTTGCACTTTTACAGTTTAATGGTATGCTTCTTGAGATATGGGCACCATACAACTGCTGTATATTCCAATTTTGGTCTAAAAATATTAATGAACAGTTTCTTTAGTATTTCATCAACCATGTAATTAAAAGGGATTCTTTAGTTGGAAAGTAAAGCATATGCACTTTGCACAATGTTCTTTGTGTGTTCCTCTGGTGACAGCCTACTGTCCAAAACCACCCCTAGAGCTCGTCCTTTGTTAGATTTCTTTAATTCCTTTCCACATAATCTGTAAGTTGTGTGTGGTGTATTTTCTCCGATTCCACATTCCATAACATGGCATTCATTCACATTGAATTACATTTTCCACATGGCACTCCAAATACTTATTTTATCTAGATCAATTTGAGGGGCATGACAATCATCTGCATCGCCTATCTTTCACAGTGTCTTAGCATCATCTGCAAATATGTTCATATACAGTACTGAGGTATGGTGACAACAAGGAACATAAACGAAACACGGGGTACAGGACACAATCAGACCTACTCATTGAATGAAACAACATGTAAAATACCTGGGAATTATGATGTCTGAGGACCTGACATTTAGTGAACATAACCAAGCAAATATAACGGCTCCCAGGAAAATGATAGGATAGATTATGAAAACGTTCAAATCCAGGGACCCCACAGCAATACTAATAGTATTTAAATCACTGGTGCTGTCCCATCTTAAATATTGCTCGTTACTCACTTCGCCTTTCAGAGCAGGAGATATCTGAATTAGAGGGAATACAGAGAACATATACGGCACCCATAGAAACAATAAAACATCTAAATTATTGACTGTCTCAAAGTTCTCAAAATGTACTCTCTGGAAAGGAAATGAGAAAGGTATCAAATAATATATACATGGAAGATTCTGGAGGACCAGGTTCTAGATTTGCACAGTAGAATAACAACATACTGGAGCGAAAGATATGGAAGGAAATGCCGAATAGAACCAGTGAGGAGTAGAGGTGCCATAGGCACAATCAAAGAGCACTGTCTTAACATCAGGGGTCCATGGTTATTCAACACCCTACCAGCAAGTATTAGAAATACAGTATTGCCAGATCGAAGGTGAATGTATTCAAGAGGCTCTTGGACAGGTTCTTGCAAGAGGTGCCGGACCAACAGGCTGTAGTGGATATGTGAGCCTGTGGGCCCACATTTCCAAACATTCAACAACAAACAGCAGCAGCTCCAAACAACAGCCTATTAGACCAGGTTATCATAAGTCGAGCTTAGCCTCAGGCTGTGCTCGGGAAGTAGAACTACTGAAACCATCTCCAGGTATATCCAGAATATTTATAGTCAGTGACAATGAAATAGTTAAACATGACATGAAACAAAAACATAAAGCATGGATAAATTTCCTACACTGGAACAAATCTCAAAGGAAAAAGTAGACAAAACTTCATCATATTAGCCACTACAGAGCCTGGGTGTAGTGACATTAGACATCTGCTACACTGTATATACTATTGTTATGAAAGGTGCTTACCACTTAGCTGTGGTAGCATATTGTAATGCAAATTGGCATTCTGTGTGTTTAATAATTAGCCTTTGTAGTGGGTGTCAAGGGTATGGGTCACTTTTGTTTGCCACAACAGGCTGGTCCCTTAGTGATAACCTTGAATTGTACTTGCAACTTTCTCTCTTCTCCATAATCTTATATGACACAGCTATTTACAATGATACTTGTTAACAAGGGGCCAAACGATGGTAGATCATAACAGGGCTGATTCAGAGAGCTTCTGAGTAGCTGGCCTTGGCTCAAAAATTTTATAAGCTTTATTCTGCTTCAAAGATACTATCTCCCCATAATATACACAAACCATGCTCGTGTTTGTACGAGCACCACTTCCACGACAGAAGTAATATTCCTACCTCCACTACAGTATTACAACATTTCTATTAAATATTAGCATTATTAAAACAAAATCATAAGTCAAATTAATGGGAACTTACCTCTGCAAGAATAATTCTTCTAATGGCATTTACAAGAGATATGTGAAAGCCAATGAAGTCAATCTCCATTTCAAGGGAATTCATTTTTATTATTTCCACTTTGCCCCCCACAGGGCCAGTCTTGCCCTTGTTTTTCTTTCTCTTTGTGGATAAATTTGGGCTATCATTTTCCTGTGTGCAGAAGTAATGATATTAAACAAGGCACAAATAAAATAATACATTAGTTCATTTATTATGAACCTCCAACCTATGCTGTTGGCAGTAGTGAAAACAAGTTACAGAGGCACATAAAGGAATAGTTATACCTTTCCAAATACAGTATTAAAAATGACAAATTATACAGGTGAACTCTTAATAAAATAAAATAAAATAACAATAGTATTGTGTGCACCCTGACAATGTAGTGACATCACCACCCACCACTATGTGGTGCAAACAGCTAATGTATTTCCTCTGTCACAGGGGGTTAAGGGATAGGGCTGGGACCCCCATCTCTTCTGCAATATGCAGATGTGAGAAGGCCATAATTAAGGTATACACCTGGTCACATTATTCACCCTCTCTCTAGCTCATCTATCAGCATTACCAATATCTTGCTTTACTACAGGAGACTGCAGTCTTGATTCCTTACCACTACATCAGCTAGCAGTCCCAATTTCAAGGTGAACTAGGGTTGACTCTGGTGTTCTACATTGGCTAACTTGTACCAATAACAACAATATAACGTTATTGTTACACCCGTTTTGTGTTGCGTTCCTTGTTCGGTTATCCTTACGGATCAATAAAGCGGCGACCCCAGAGTTGAATTCGTGTTCAGGCTTAAGTTTCCTGTTGTCGGAGACAGGAAGCATGTACTTATTTCTCTGGATGACTTTATGCGTTTTAGTTGGGGGCCGAGTTTTGGTTTTGCTACCTGGTGTTCTCTGTGTGGGGCGAGGCCGGTGCTTGTCACCCTGCGGGACTCCTGGGACTCCCAATCATCTGCCTGACTGTGCGTTTATTTGCCGTATGGCATATTAGTTTCTAGTGACTGGCGTCACTCGTTTCGCGTTTTGGCTTGGCATTCCACCTTTCCAGGCTTCGCGATTAACCCATCACGGGTACGCCGGGGTGCATCCGATCCCACGATCGTCGTCACCCCTAAAACAACAACAACAACATTTCTCATTATGGTCCTTTAGGCCAGGAAATGACCTTTCGAAGATGCAGCCCGCAACAATTGCCTAACACGTGGGTACTTATTATCACTACATGAACAAAAGGCATCAAGTAAAAGGAAGTGTGCTCAACTGTCTGTCCTACAATGGGAATCGAGTCCGGAACTCTGCTGTTATGACCCGATTTATATGGACCACTGTATTACAGGACCCAGTTACCAGACATGCAGGCTGCAAACAAAAATGACCGAAACGCTTTGCCCGAAAAGCTTTGTGTTTAGTGGCTTTAGGCATTGTATGTACTAGCTCTATCTATAAATTCATCAATATTTGTATCACACCCTATATGTATGTACTTTACCTGAATAAACATTTGAATTTGAATTTGAAAATAGGTTTGGGAAATAATCATTTAGCAGTAGTTTGCAGCATTTAATGTTGTGACAAATTTCATTTTCATTGTGGAGAATTTCAATGGTGCCACCAATTACATGGATATGTTGTAAATTTTTGTCCCATTTTAGAACAGTATGTAATGGTATAGATTGTAGTTTTGAAGTTGCTGCTGTTTCCCAACTAGCTGTGTCGTTATTAGTTATTGCCTGGAATTGAACATACAACTTAAATGGAACCTTTGACAAACCGCAGACTTCATGCCATCGTCGAAACCGTTAGACAGAAATCCTCGGATAAATTCAGGTAAATAAAGTTATCATATCTGTGTAGGGTAACTAAAAAGAGAGCAATTTCTTTTAACTCACATAAACCAATTGGAATTCCTGCATAGTTATTCTCGCACTCTCCATTGTAAAACCGTTTTCCTTCTTCAGTTTGCTCTGCGCTGATGATGTGAGCAGTGCTCGTCGTACTCGTCCTTACTATAATTCCCACAAACATACGCACATGTGCAGCATGAATGGCAGCCCGGCCAGCTGACTCCCCGCTCCCCTCAACATCGTACTCTGTGGAGCAACTGTTGTACTGTAAACAAAATGTTGACGCTACTGTTTTTTTATTTACAATGTAATTCTTCATATAAAATAAATGAACTAAACTAAACATATAGAATAGGGTAGCAGCACATTGCTGTGTATACCTAAACTTGTTAATATATACAAAAGATGCTGTACCATGCTGAAATTTACTAAATAACCGTTGAATATATGTAATATAAATGCATGTAAGTTAACTTCAGATTAGTTTCGGTTATTAAATTGCTTGTTTTACTTTATATATCACAATATCAGCGACATGGATTTGCCTACACCTTATTACAGGTATAAATAGGTATGATATGTTTAGAACCGAGAATTACATGTACAGGCAGCATAAAACATCTACTTGTGTAACATTGTAATTCATTTATTTATTTATATATAAGAAGGTACATTGGGGGTTAACAGAGAACATAGAAATTAAGTTGAATTTACATTCTTGTAAAGCCACTAGCATGCATAGCGTTTCGGGCAAAGGCAATTGTTAATATTAGGCTGGGATATCGATATCCACGGCAGGTGGCTGCAAGTAATGAATCCCCCAATGGTGAAGATTCCAGTTGTAAACTATGTGAACAAGAGCTGAGACATAATCGCCAACAATACATCGGTGATTGCGCTGTTATCAATGATTTCAGACCAAATGAGATGAGGTACTTTGAGCTCTGTAACCACTTCATACACGCACAAATATTGGAAGATATTATTGTGCTCTACCCAGAGTTTGCTAGAGCAGGCCAATAGATCAGCCTTGTATTTAATGTTCTCTCCAGATTCCATATATGACTAACCATATGGGAGATTGGGATGTTATATGATGACCTTTATAGCTAGTTTTATATCTACAGTGTGTAATCGTTCATAATTAATTTAATTCATTGTGCCGAGGGGACAATATAGAATACAATATAGAATATAGAATAGCAGCACATTAATTGCTGTGTATTTACCTGAATTTACCTGAGGGCCACTAATACTAGTGGCCTCGCTGAGGACAGGAAGCTGGCGGCTTATCAAAGGTCCCCCATTTGTCCTGATGATCTTTATCAGTTGAATTTTAAAACCCAGCATAAAGTAAAAAAAAACAGCGTATTAAAGAAGATGCTATACCATGTTGAGATTTATTCAATAATCGTTGAATATATGTAATATAAATGCATAACTTCAGATTAGTTTCGGTTATTAAATTGTTTGTTTTACTTTATATATTACAATATCAACATTTACATTTTGGCATTTACGACTTCGGCGGGTAGGCAGTTCCTAGGTGATTAAGGTATGGGTATACATAAGCTTGTTAAAAAAAATATTATAGCTGGTAAATTAAAAAAATGCAAGTATAAAGCTTGCATAGCTTATAATAGTATATAATGCGTAATAATATAATGGTTTCCAATAATGATTTAATTCAATGTTATTGTTTTGATTCGTAAATTTTGATCCCGGTTGCGTGGGGTAAACATCGTACTTTAGTACCTTGACTTTTGTATATAAACATTAGCCGGAGATGGACTTTGCAAATATTTTTATTTCGACCATGTATCATGTTCTATGTGTGTTTGTCATTATTAACCTGTTTGTAGATAATTAACAACACGAAGTAATTGATTAATATTGTTTTGTTATACTTTTACTTCATTGCTAACTTATCGATCCTTGGTCACAGAATTTCCAATGCTTTTAGTTTGTCAAAATGTTTCCTCCTTTTGCCAAATCTATACCATATAAAAGATACACATTTCATACATGATAAGGATAGCATACGTTGAAAAGGGGTTGACAAATATACTCGACACACCTATTGAAACGATCTGTTTTTTTTTGTTTATTATTGTAGAAAAATTATAAATGTCACTAAATTAAAATAATGTAAATACGCAAACTATATTATTGCATTTTTAGTGTTATAAGTATTAGAAGCAGTACCATGATTCAGCGTTTATAGCTCCTATGAAAATCGTAAAGTTATTATTTAGTTAAAGTTAATTCATTTTTGTATTGAGGCAGGTATTTTCTCCCCTGATTCCATGTATGACTTATCATCCTGTAATATGGGAATATTAGATGAACTTATAGCTAGGTTTTGATCTACACTGTGTAATCTTTCATATAGAATAGAATTGCTGAGTATACCTAAGCTTGATAATAATAATGAAACCAAAAAAGGCTTAAAGAGAATTGGTTTGAAAATGAATAAAATCCATAGAAGAGAAACTATACATATAAGAACATATAAGAACATAAGAACATAAGAACAAAGGTAACTGCAGAAGGCCTATTGGCCCATACGAGGCAGCTCCTATTCTATAACCACCCAATCCCACTCATATACTTGTCCAACCCGTGCTTGAAACAATCGAGGGACCCCACCTCCACAATGTTACGCGGCAATTGGTTCCACAAATCAACAACCCTGTTACTGAACCAGTATTTACCCAAGTCTTTCCTAAATCTAAACTTATCCAATTTATATCCATTGTTTCGTGTTCTGTCCTGTGTTGATACTTTTAATACCCTATTAATATCCCCCCGGTTATGTCCATTCATCCACTTGTAAACCTCTATCATGTCACCCCTAACTCTTCGCCTTTCCAGTGAATGCAACTTAAGCTTTGTTAATCTTTCTTCATATGAAAGATTTCTAATTTGGGGAATTAACTTAGTCATCCTACGCTGGACACGTTCAAGTGAATTTATATCCATTCTATAATATGGCGACCAAAACTGAACTGCATAATCTAAATGGGGCCTAACTAGAGCAAGATATAGCTTGAGAACCACACCAGGTGTCTTGTTACTAACGCTGCGATTAATAAATCCAAGTGTCCGATTTGCCTTATTACGAACATTTATGCATTGATCCTTTTGTTTTAAATTCTTACTAATCATAACTCCCAGATCCCTTTCGCAATCCGACTTCGCAATCACAACACCATCTAGCTCGTATCTTGTAACTCTATCATCATTACCTAACCTCAGAACTTTACATTTATCAGCATTAAACTGCATCTGCCAATCCTTTGACCATTTCAAAACCCTATCTAGATCAACTTGAAGTGATAGTGAGTCCTCCTCCGAATTAATTTCCCTACCGATTTTCGTATCATCGGCAAATTTGCAAATGTTGCTACTCAAACCTGAATCTAAATCATTTATATATATTATAAACAACAGAGGTCCCAGGACAGAGCCTTGAGGCACTCCACTTACAACATTTTCCCACTCTGACTTGATTCCATTTATACTAACTCTCTGTTTCCTTTGGTATAGCCATGCCCTAAAATATATACAATATATATATATATATATATATATATATATATATATATATATATATATATATATATATATATATATATATATATATATATATATATATATATATATAACTCAGTATAGGCCATGAGTACGACCTATACCAGCCATACGTAAACAAAAATAAGTCATTTAGAAATTATACAATGAAACCTTCACCAAATTACATCGATATAACATGAGAGAAGTCTAGAAAATTGTATTGTATGCTGGGGTCGATAAGTTTGCTAAATATAGCAGAGGAGAGTGTGTGAGGTGGCAACACTGGGAGCTCGGGCCCGACCAGTCTGAGTGGGACCGTCAGGGAGGGAGGTGTAGTGCGTGTCCGGCTTCTTCCTCGGTGACATATTGCTCTCTCTAAATTACTTCTCGCAATCTTTTGGTGCTCCCTGGCATTTATTCAAGTAATGGTGAGTACATCTGATTGTTTTCAAATTACCATTTTTTTTAATGATTTGTATTGACCGGTGGAAATGTCTGAGGCAGGTCCTCCACATTTTACATGCCTTTGCGATATAGATTATTATAATATGAGTCACTATAGATTTTTTCTCGTTATGCTTTTAGCTGTTTATATGAAGAACGATTCTCGGTAGTACAGTTGGGTTCGTTCTCGACTCACAGTCGGGAATCCCGGACGGAACAAAAATGGTTGGACACGTTTCCAATCACCAAATGTCTCTCCTTTCACCTAGCAGTAAATTGGGACAAAATAAATTATAATTTGTATTGCTTAGCGCCTCGCTCTCTCTATTTGTATAATCATAGCTACCTCTATCTATTTCTATATTCATATCTATCGCTATCTATTTCTATATTCATATCTACCTCTCTGTCTCTCTATATCAATGACTCCATCTCTATATATCTATTCCTATCTAAACATAATATTTTCTATATTCCCCTCTCTCTAAAATGACAAGATGAAGTTAATATAAAATCTAGTTATCGACCAAACGTACTCCAGGGATCTGCCATGTAAGTGTGGGTGTTATGCGCGGATGAAGGTGCTAGCTGTATAAAAGAATATTTGTCCAGAGTGGGAGACCAGACGCTCGGGGCTAGCCTCACCCAATGTTCCATGATGATACATGGGGGGGGGGGGTTATCACAGGCTCCCCGTGATTTTCACTGTGAAATCTGGGATTTGCTTTTCCGTAGAGGTTTTAACGTTTTTTTTAACACTTAATAATAAGATGGGGATATCTAGTTCTTGGCACACTGTACTCCCCTTCATATAGTCTTGGGGAGATAGATAAATGCAGATGTACGTACCTAAATGTGTAATAATTAAGTTAATAATATTACATTTTCTGAGGCAGAAAGGGAAGGAAGGAGGAAAGGATAGGGGAGAAAGGTGGAGAGGAAAGGATAAGGGAAAAGGGAGAGAGGAAAGGATAGGGGGAAAGGAGGGGTGAGACCCGGGCACAACCGGATATCCCATCTAGTTTAGTATAAATCTGTTTTCATGTTCCTCTTCAATTAACATGTGCCCCTCAATAAGTAATTTAATATAGGATTAGCCAAATTTGTTAATCATACTTCATACGAAATTAGTCTTCATTGCAGTTTTGGTTCATTGGTTTTGTATGGAAACATTTGGCCTAGGTATTTTGACCCTAGATTTTGAGGAAGCCATAAACAGTATGCCTATGCACT